GCAGGGGGGAGAAATGACTCAAGTATTGTATGCACATATGAATAATAAAAAAATAAATTAAAAAAAAAAAGATGGTCAATTTTAGACAGGTGCTGGTGGCTCACGCCTGTACTCCTGGCTACTCAGGAGGCAGAGATGAGGAGGATCACAGTTCAAAGCCAGCCCAGGCAAATAGTTCGTGAGATCCTATCTAAAAAAAACCCTTCACAAAAATAGGGCAGGTGGAGTGGCTCAAGGTGAAGGCCCTGAGTTCAAGCCCCCAGTACTGCAAAAAAAGAAAATCAGTTTTGCAACTGCTTTTTAAATAGTGTGTGTTGTAAGAAATGTATATGCAGAACTGCATGAACTCTATGAGGACAGTTTAACTACCATTCAAGTCAAGGAACAGAACACTGTTGGCACCACAGACACCGCTCATATATTCCTCTCTCTCAGTAGTTACTCAAATGACTAAATGACTATGGTCATTATTTCCTGGGCTTTTTTGACACTTTCAAATTCACATTTAACTATAAGTTACAACAGCCAATCTTTGAAAGGACCTGTTTTGGAATTTAACACCACATGTATATACAGCCTTTTCAAAAAGTTAAATAAAATGTAAAACAAAAAGTATATCAATGGTAAATCACATAGAAGAAGGAAGGAAGGAAGGAAAGGTGGTAGGGTGGGGGAAAAAGAAGATAAATAAAGTCCTACATGTAAATTAAAATATTAAAGGTGGTTATCTGGGAGGGAAAGTTGAATAAAATATTAAATATTTTATTTTACATCTTCTTAAAAGCACAAGGCAAACTTAGGACTCAAAGCCACTTTTCTTATCCTAAGAATATTTCCCAAACCTAAAGAAAAAACTGCGATGGGTAGTACTTTGGCAGTCTCATAGGGCTTGAAAAGCAAAAGTGAAGTCTCTCCACCCCTCCAACCAAGGGATTCCTATATGCCCCGTGCTCTCTCAGTTGCAACCTCCCTGGCCTGGACGTGCAGCACAAGGTCAAGGCAACTGAGTGATCTGGAAAATCTCCATGCTTGAATTTAAATTTAATTGAAACCCAGGCACCTGAAAAAAGCAAATAAAAAACCCCTCTGGATGAAATACCGTCACCCAGGGCCTCTGCTGGGATTTCTAACCATGTTCTTTTGACCTGAGAGAGCCCACGATCTTAACAACTTTACTAACTACTGCAGAAAAACTACCGTATGGCAAAGGATGTATTGAAACACAGAGGCCACCTGATCCAAAGTTGAGCTACCTGTGTTTCTCATCATAACTTACATGACAGATCAGCCAGTAGTAGCCTCCTCTCCAAGGACAAGCACATTCCTTTGTAGTCAGGGGACTAGCCCTTACACAAGGTAAGACCCACGACTAATTCCTGCCCACTGGTAAGAAATCCCTCCTCTGAGGTCTTGAGTTTCAATTATCTTCACTAAAAGCCGTCCACACATTTAATGCCACCTTAGAGGTCACCCCTACATCCCTCCTTCTTCAGATCAAACCAAACAGCCCTTTTGTCTTTCACTACGAACTCAATGAATTTTTTTTTTAACTCCTTCTCTATGTTGGACAGGAATGGGTGTGGATGATTCTCTTCAACTCTGTCCTCATACCAAAATGGTATCAGAGACTAAATATAATACTCAAGGTACAGTCTAAAAGCAGAGCGCTCAAGGAAGAGCCATCTGCCATGCCCTGGACCGCAACTCCTACAGTGAAACAGTCACATACTGGAGTGTCTGAGTGACAGCTGTCTAAGATGTGTCAGTGTTCTTAAAGATAAATCACATCTTCCCATGCTCTCACCAAACTGGTCATTGGTTCTTCAGATAAGCCCCACCTCTTGTTTCCTCAGGACATTTTTCAGATTTTTTTTTTCCACAATACTAGGGGTTTTGAACTGAGGGCCTCCAGCTTGTTAGACAAGCACTCTAATTACTTGAACCAGACCCCCAGAGCCTCTTGCTCTACTGAAAGAGCTCTTCTCCCACACTTCATACCCTTTGGCTGGTTCCATTGAGCTCAAACCTAGCTTAAGCCTCAGGCTCAACTGTATTCTTCTGTTTTTTTCATCCACCCCCTTAGATGTGGGTCACTAAATACTTATATAATTATTAATTTAATGACTCTCTACCTTATTAAAGTGATGCTCCATAAAGGCAGGGACTGAAGGTGGGTGTTAGTGAATACTGGAGCTTCTTTCTTCATTCAAACATATTCCCACTTAGTTATGATTAGGAAAAAGGAGAGGAAAAAAAACTATAAATCTATCAATACAATCAATACAAAAATAAAAATGTTAATAGAAAAACAGCAACACAAATTGTATAGCAAAAACTACATCCCTAGCCTGTGAGATTGTGTCACCCACTGTGTACTTGATATACAGGATATCAGTCAACATATCTAAAACCAAACCCTTGATCTCTATGTCACTCCCACCTGTCCCTTATCTAGTGCTTTGTGTTTTGGAAAATCACACCTCTGTCTTCATGTGCTGTAGCAATCCCAGGTGGGACTGTGTAGGTGACTGGCTCTGGCCTACTTTCTCTCTGCAGGCTCTTCCTGGTATCACCTTTGTGAGTGGTACTTTTCACCTTTTCATCTGCCACTACTCCATACTTGGGGAAGATCTTGTACCTATCCCCATGTTATTAGAACAGTCATTTGGGTCATTAAGGCCTTACTGCATCTGATTGTCAATTTAACATACTCTCAACCAGCTCTGAATCAACTGCAGACTTCATCACTCAACCAAGGGCACCTCCTTTTGGAAGTCATGGCTTCTTAGGGTTCAGGAGCAATGAAGAGGGCTGGGGGTATAGCTCAGGAGTACAGCACCTCCTCAGGCCATGGGTTTGGTCCCCAGCATCCAAAACCAAACAAATTCAGCAGTGAAAAAGGCCACTGGGTTGCACAACTTAGGCAGTTTAACCTGCCTCCCAGCATTTGCCACAACCATCTAAGACTGCCTAAAACCAAGAACTTACAGATTGGAAAAACTACCATAACATTTCAGTCTCTCCCAAGTCCATGTGCAGGTGCCACTCACAACCCATTAGAAATGGAAAAAGGTTAACAGGCTGATTGCAGATGTTGGTTCTGGCAGCTTCTCTGTTTATCTGACAGCTTTGTTGTGACTCTTCTAACTTCACAGCATTTTTAGCCCTTAGCATCAGTTCCCATATATTCAGAAGTCCTGGGATCATGTAACTTATGTTAAGTAACAGAGAACTAACTTTTTATCAAGAAAACCCTAAAAATATAGTATCTGGATGAAAGTATTTGTAGAAAAGCAAAACATAAACACCGAATCTTTGGAGGAAAATGTTGGAACCATGGCTCAAAGGATAAAGGCCACAGAATTAAAGCCTCTTACCTGCTCTATCAGTTATTTCTAATCTGTTTGAGTATTATCCTTCGATATAGCTATTGTGTGATGCTCAGTGATGCTCTTTGACCTCCTAATATTCCCACAAAACATTCATCTCAGGGCTGTGTATAAAGACTACATGAAATGGCCCATGACAATTCACAGCACTGACTTCCAAGTAGACTAATCCCAAGTCTTTGGGAACAGGTCCTCAAAACATTAGGAAGCCATATTACTCATTTCTTCTCTCCAGATGAAAGGCAGTCTGACAAGCTAGATACTGTCTGGTATTCTAATATTCTAGGAAAATAACTCTATTGAAAAATGAAATGAAAATCTGACAGAATCTGTTTCTGCTGGACCTATGCTGGCTCTCCCTTCTCCACATACAGCAAAAAACAAACAAACAAAAAAACGCTACAGCTAACAAGCTAAAAATTACTATTTATTTTCTGCTCAGAAGCAATAAAGTTGCCAAATTTACAATTTCTAGAATGTTCCTCCCCTCTTTGAGCAAAGCGAGAGAAAGGGTTGCTGGAATGTCGTTCAGATTCTCTAAGCACATTATCTCAACTGCTTTAAGTCAGAAAATGCCTACAAGCAAGCTGGGAGTGGCAATTCTGGAATTACTCTTGTAATCCCAGCTCGAGGGAGGCTGAGGCAGAACCTTCACGTAGAAGGTGGCCTGGGCCACACAGTGAGACTTGCCTTCCCTCCCAGTTCTCTACACCACCATCATTAAAAACAAAGAAACAAAACAAAAAGCCTACAGGCCCCAGCAAGAAGCAGAAATGAGGGTCTGGGGTATGTCATGCCAGAAGCAAAAACAGAACTTAACTCTGGGAGTTTTCCGAATGCATAATACCAAGACTGAACATTGGGTTTCAATGATAATGGTGTGCCAAGGTAGGCTCACTGATTGTCATAAATGCTCCCCTGTGCTGTGGGGTGTTGATAATGAAGTGGGGGCAAAGGGTAAATAATAACTCTTTGTTTTTGCTCAACTGTGTTATGCACCTAAAATTGCTCAAAAAAACCAGAATACTTAAAAGGAAAAAAAAATATTTTTAGACAAAGTTAAGTTCCACTATTAATTTAAAAACCAGGAGCTGACCTTTAAGTTTCCTTTCTTATGTACCTGGTGTTGTAAGACTATGATCTCTGTACGTCCTGGAAGGAATACTCAAACCAGCCCAGGAGAATTCCATGACCATACTCATGGCTGAGGGGGCAGAAGCATCTGACTTTGCACGAAATCCCAAACAAGAGCGGGAAACCAGGCTTTGGAGTCCCTTTGTTAGCACTGAAATACAGCTGAAAGTCAGCAGAATCCAGTGTCCAATTAAAAATATTCCTAACTTCTCTGCACCAAAAGTCCCTGAAGTGAGCATTCAGATGCTTTCATGTCCTCCGTCGCAGCAATCTTGTATGCCTTTAATTCAGCACAGAGTAGTTATAGTAGCCAGATGCACAGAACAAAAAAACAAAACTAAGCATTTCTTAAATTTATTGAAGAATTCTTAGTTGGGAGAGGAAAGATCACAGGCTTAAACAATTGTAAGAGAAAAGAATGATTAATTGCAAATTATTACAAAAGTAATTTTTAAACTTTTTTTTTTTTTGAGCCACTGCTAAAACAAAATTCTAGTGCATCCTGTAGTTCAAATTCTGGTAAGTGAACATTAAATTACTGGAGAACAAAAAAAGTTACTGTTACACAGTACAAGATCTTAATGTACTAACTGAGCACAGCCAAATAAACAGCTATAATTATTCAAAACTGCTTTTGCTATCTACCTGGTAATTAAACAAGAATGTAGATTACTTTCAACACTGCACAAGTAACCAAAGGTAGCAAATCCAGCAATATTAAAATCTGGTATTAAATAGTATTCAAACATTACCACAAAAACAGAATGAGAACTTCTAGACCTACAGTTCTAACTTCATGAAAGGAATGTACATGGTTGAAAAATAAATAAATAAAGTGGCAGGAGTGACTAACACTGTATCTGCGCCTCTGCAGCAAGAATACAGTAAATGAGTAAAAGCTACGTTTCTCTTTAACTTTCCTAACCCCCACTCGTGCTGACTCTTTTGTGCTGGTGACAGGTGGACAGGGTTTATACTGAAAGTGATACCCAAATCGAGTGTGAATGCATAATCTTTTTTAATTCTGCATGGTTTTCTTCAAACACCATGCAATGTGAAATCATATAGTGATGGGAAACTGATGATATGAATTGTGGAATAATAATATTAACTAGATAATTAACTAGACATTTCATTCTGGATTCCAATAACAAGTGGAGATTAAACCTTGCATTTGGGCAATGTGCACTAGTGTCAAAGCCACCAAATGTCAAATGTGCAACCTGTCTTTCACTTTATACATAGTGTACTTAATAAGTAATTAAATTCTCCTACCAACAATATAAAACCCTTATTTAAACAGAGTAAAGTATTATAAACTGAATTCACTCCCATCATATATCTGTAAGGGTAAGTAGAACATTTTCCAAGGTATAAAGATATCACATGTTCACTGAGTGAATACTCTGAAAGGTTTTTATACTGCCATTAAATCATATCAAACCATCCAAGAGATGTTGCCATTTTCTTCGGTGATTTATGAATAGATTATTCCTTTTGAATAAAGCAGGAAATATTTTCAAAATTAACATTAATAATGCCAAAAATATAAATGTAATTTAAACTTGCCTTAAGAAAAAAAGAACATGAAAGAATTGTCACATTTCAATCTCAAATAATGTTCTTAAAATCCCTTATCAGAGGTCTCACTTTCTTTCTGCAGATCCCACAATGGTTTTAAAAATAATAAACAGATAATTCATCTCATTGCACATCACAATTTTAAAAGTTCTGAATAAGACATACTACATGATGACCAAAATGTACAGAATGGTAATATTACAATGTAACAATATAAATATGTCAAGCAGATTCGTAATAAAAATAAGTCAGAAAATGAGCAACCAAACAGATCTATTATGTCTTTGGAAAAATCACAAAGTGCCTTTAAAGAAAGTTAAGTTTAGAATGTACTTGATTAGAAGATACTGTTCTAGAAGCAAATGTTTTCTCTCTCTCTCTCTGAGGAAGCTTGTCTCACACTTCTTTTCATTTGCTAATACTTAGTATTTTTCTCTAAGCCCCTGCACCAAATTGATGCAGGTGTGGAGTTCCAGTGGCTAAATAAGGTAACTATGAACCCAGCACAGCTCCAGCAAAATACATAGAAAAAAAAGAGTATGAGGGAAACCTTACCTCAAAATAATTATACATCAACAGAAGTAATCATAAGCATTTTCAAACACAAAATTTTAGAAAAACCAATATATTGGTATCACTTTAGTTTAAAAGACATTCAGAACTCAGTTTTTCTGTCAATCAAACCTGTATATACACCCAAATTAAATACAATATGATAGTTACTTATAAAAACGTGATCTAAACTTGGTGATCAATTAATCTACCTTACAATTAACAAGAGCAAAACCCAGTCTGGTGCTGCAATATCTCAGTTCTGAAAAGCTAAAGGTAGAAACACCTCCAGTTACACATTTCCTGCATTTCTCCTTAAAATACCTGAAGAAAATTTATGTTTAAGGTTTTACCCTATGTCTCTACCTTAAATTGAGAAAAACCAAATCTTACAATGTAACCTCAAAATGTTTAAATAGCTTTTGCATTTTTCTAAAGCAAATTTGAATTTTTCACTATAAAACACATTTCTCTTCCATAATTATTAATTAAAATGAATATAAGTGCCCTGATTCCATACATCCTGGGCAGGTGCTATGTCTTCTACATTTTGTACAGTTTCTAGAATAGTCAATGCTTGGGAAAAAGAAAAGGCAACACCCAAAAGTGACTTACCCTGGATTATAAAATCTACTAGTGGAAGAACCAAAACATACACACACATACCTACACATACAAAACCAAGACACAATCTTGGTCCTCTTATTCACATGGACTTGCAGTTTGAAAAGAAAAAGTAGGGGGAAATGTCAAGACCAGAAAGAGCATGTCAGGGAACTTTACAAAACAGTGAAGAAACATTTTATTGTGGGAGAAAATCCCAATTTTTCTAGAAAAAAATTTCTTGGTAAAGTGGGGAGTTTTTCCCAAAATCTGCAATAAACTCTGAATGCATTTCAGTATTAATATTAATTTTTAAAGTTTCAATGTGTTTTGCCACTTGAATTTTCATTTATAGGGTAAGTCAGAAAGACAAAAATTCTTACTGCACAATCTTTAAAGACATTTTATTTTCAGCACCTTTTAATGTTAACAGTGGGTTTCTAACTAAGCAAACTAAAATAAAAGAGGTTGGAACAAACCAGTGTCAAGGTTAAAGATCTTCATGCACACACACACTGGCTCACTCACTCGCATTCCAGCATTTTGCTGCAGTAACAAATAATGTCATTTGATGGAAAGCTTGGGAAACTATCACTTAGTGTTTACAGAAACCTAAAACACTAATGTTTCTGTTATAGAAATTAGACAGTTTGGGGGAATCAAAAAAGCTACCAATAGTTGAACTATAGAAATACAACCGATTTTTAAAAATGGAACAAAAAGACTAAGAATCTACCAGAAACAAACAAAAATTCAGCCTCAGCTTTATATTTGGTGTTAGGGGAGCTGTTAGATGCCATTTGTTTGCAAAGAAGAAAAATTATAACTCTTTATCACTGGAACCTCCTAGCCACCTCAGTGTGGTTTCAAGCAGCACTATTTGGATCCAAAAAGAATTCTGTCTGACAATACCCTGAAAGCCTTATAGTAGACCTTCCTCTACAGACATGTTCTTAGGCTCTTAACAAACTACATGTGTATAGAAGAGTAAGTGGAGATCGTATTTTGACAGATTACAAAAGTAAGAACTGAGTTATATACACTGATGACAGAAAGCACTTTAAAAGCTATATTTACTTTCCTTCCAATTCACTTAAAACATTAATATTCACTATTTGAATTTTAACCTAAACATATTAATCTGCTTCTTCCCCTCTGAAAACAAATAATAAAATATATTGATTTAGGGTGTGTTCTATGCATTTTCCAAGAGCCAGTCAAACAGCGACTTGCATCTCTCTTCACTGGAAGTTTTTTCCACCACTTCATAGTATTTAAGCACAGCCTGTAAGAGGTCTCCTACTTTCCATCCTTTTTCTTGCAATTGTTTTGAAAGCTAAAAAAGAAAGATAAGTCAAATGTTAACAGAAAACAATTTTATAGCAGTAAAGTTTTTGTTTTCATAATCAGATAGAACTGAGAACCCTGCTGTTTATAGCTAAGTATTTCTTCCCCGTTATAACACGATCTTCTCCCCTACACCACCACCCCTTGACCCAAATTAAACACTTTCTCTCCCTGACCTTTATAAACACATCTCCTCCACAGAATGACACTTTGGGATTGTTGGAGACAGAACTTCACAAACCTCACCCAGCAGACAGTCTATGTGGGAGTGCAGAGGCTACATTTCTACAGGAAATTCTTCACCTAACTAAATACATCTGCCACACCCTCAATTAGAAACATAAAATAATAAAGACAATGTCAAGCTTAACACAAGGATGTGGATTTTTTTCCTTCCATAACATATAGTGTGGGTTTTTTTCTGGAATACACACTCTAGCCTCAACGGAAACATGGCTTTCTAAGTTAAGAAATGTTAATGTTTCAATAAAAAACCACCAAAAAGTAAATAAATACAGGTTTAAATAAACTCTACCATGGCCAATCAGAACATGATTTCATTCACATTTTCATCTATTTAGCTCTGTAAACATTCTTAATTTTTAAGTTAAATTCTGTATTGTAAATATGCTTACTCTTTTTTAAGAGCTTTATTAAGATCTAATTCACATCCAATGGGTTTTAGTATAATCACTGAGTTGAATGCAACCATCATCACAACCTACACTAGAACATTTTCTCTTCACTGCACCAAAAGGGAACCCTCCCCATCAGAAACCACTTACCATTCTCCCCAAGCCCCTCAGCCCTAGACCACCATTGATCTAGATATGGTCTCTGTAGATTTGTCGACTTGGGACATTTCACATAAAAGGAATCATAAAATCTGTGTGTGGCCTTTTGGAGCCACCTTTTTTGCTTAGCATAATTATTTCAAGTTCTGCCATGGTGGAGCATGTTTCAATACTTCACTATTTTATATTGGCAAAGCTCCATTTCATGATATAGCACATGACTTATCCATTTGTGAGCTTGTGGACATCTGGGGCATCCCCACTTTTTAACTATGGTCAATGGTGTTACTATGACAGGCTTTGGTGCGGGCATGTTTTGATTTCTCTGGAGTGCACACGCAGGAGTGGCAAAGCTGGGTTACATGCTAACACTATGCTTGCATTTTCCACGTGGCTATGCCACTACAGATCCTCACCAGGAATAAATTTCTCTAAATGACTGCCAACACTTGCTACTGCCTTTCTGATTATAGTTGTCCTGGTGGGCGTGACGCTCATAGTGGTTTTGATTTACATTTTCCTAATGGTTAATGAGGTTGACCATCTTTTCATGTATTTATTTCTTTATTTGGTAGTACTGGGGTTTGAACTCAGGGCTTGAAACTTGCTGGACAGGTGCTCCAATGCTTAAGCCATGACTCCAGCCCTCATGTATTTACTGAAGATACATAATGGACAATTCAGATTCTTTGCCCATTTCTTAATTGGATTATTTGCCTTTTTATTTTTAAGTTATTACAGCTCCTTATATATGCTAGGTACAAGACTTTTATCAGATATATGCAAATATGTTCTCCCATTCTATGGATTTTCTTTTCACTTTGCTGATAGTGTTCTTTGAACAATGAAAGGTTTTTTTGTTTGGTTTTTTTTGAGACAAGGTCTCACTATGTACCTCAGGCTGACCTGAAATTCACTATAAATCCAGGCTATCCTCAAATTCACAATCTTCCTGCCTCCCGAATGTTGGGATTATAGCCATGTACCACCATGCCTGGCCAAAAGTTTGGTTTGTTTTTTTTTTCTATTGTTTCTGCATTACTGAGATTTGAATTCAGGACCTCACATTTGCTAAGGTGTTGTTCTACCAGTTGAGCCATACCCCCAAGTCTTCTTTTGCTTCAGTTGTTTTTTTCAGATAGGTCTTGCATTTTTGCCTAAGGCTGGCCTCCTACCATAATCCTCCTACCTGTGGCTTCCCACATAGCTAGGATGACAGGTATTCACCACCAGGCCTGGCTTGTTGGTTTAGATGGGGTCTTGCTAAATTTTGGCCTGGGCTGGCCTTGAACTGTGATCCTCCCGATCTCCATCTACCTGCCAAGTAGCTAGGTTTACAGTAATGTGCCACCTGCCCACCCGTGGCAAAAAGTTTCAAATTTTGATCTATTTTCCTTTATGTTACTATACTTTTATATTTTTAATACAAATGTCTCTCAGGTTCTGCTTATGCTTATGGTACTAATGCTTACTTGTTCTGTTTAACAGTGAAAATGCCAGAAATAATAGTATCTTATCCAGAAAGACACAAAAAACAAAGTATTTCAATTTTCCTCATTATCACCAAAGACGATCTGAACTTGCTTCTTAACTGATTCCTAACTTCCCAGCAGCACTGCAGGTTCTAGTCAGACATGGTCAATGAGGGTCATTATTTAAAATCATGATAAAACAAACCATAGTTATAATAAGGTATTTCCATTCAATCATTAGACAAAGATCCCCTGGGCGAGTTTACATGATGACAAAGTCCCTTGACCCAACCACCACCCCCCTCAGCTTCACCTAAGGTCTTCCCTTAGGCCTCAGCTCATCCAAGACTAAGTAACTCCCCTAAGAGTTTGCCTCCCTAGGGTCAATCCTAACAATTCCTCTGCCCATTCTTTCCCCTTGACAATTCCTTTCTAATCTATTTTGTCTTTCTGCTCCAATCAAAAACCTGAATTAAAAAAGTCCAGTCTAAGTAAAAATAAATGACAAAAAGCTGTAATAAGTTTTTTCTCAATTATTTCAACAGATGCTCATAAATTATGAACCAGAAAGTATCTCAATATTCCTTTTTTTGTTATTACTGACCAATTTACACAGGTTCTTCACTAATCTACTGTAAGATTAAACCAAAGTTTTCGTAAGAACAATTATGGGGGAAAAAAAACGTTAAAACTGATAAATCTTAACTAACAAGGCACTTAGCACATACTAGGTACTCAATAAAACTATCTTGCTTAAACATTTATTATCTTTTGATTATGTCACCTTCTCATATGCACAAAGCTGGATTATCAGCGAAAGACCCTTGTTAATTATTAAGTACAATTATGAATCAATTAAATATAGAGAATAACTCAATCTTTTCATAAGAACACATGAAGTTCTTACAAATGGCATCTAACTTTGAGGACTTACTGCATACCAGCATTAAACTAAGCATTTTGCTTCTTATAATATTATACTTAAGCCTCATAAACTCTGTAAGATAGCTTCTTCACTCATAGTGCTACTGAGGAAACTGAGACTTTTACTGGTGAATCTGCCCAAGGTGATGCTGCGAAGGGCAGAGCTGGTATCTGAACCCAACTATGAGATCCACAGCCTAAACACTGACCACTCTTTCATCATCAGACATCTTACTAGGCCAACAATATGACAAGAACATTGTATACAGTGATATGTATCCTCACAATCACTCTAGAAGGTAGGTACTTACTAGCATAAACTCCTTCTTTGCTGAGTCATGAAAATATAGTTCTGCAACTTCAGCCTCAGAGGCAACGAGCCACTGAAGAATAATCCTTAGCTGGGGGTCTACTGTGCATGGCTCCATGTCAATATTTGTAATTAGGAGAGTCTTTCCATTTCGTTCCAAACCTAATAGATAAATTTAAACAGTCTGAAGTAAAATTTATCAATTCAACTCTCAAACTCATTCGCAAATATTTTCCTTTCCTTATATTCCAAAGAATGCTTTTCTTACCCATACCATAACATCAACTAAAACATTTCTTGCAAAGGACAAAGTAATGCTAAAAAAAAGAAACAACTGGTATTTTATTTATTGATATTACAAATGCAAAATATTGTTTTAAAGTAATGAATTCAAGTGCTACAAATGCCATGATTTGTGTCAAATTAAGACCCATAGATATTCGCAAGTAAATGGATGAAACTGGAGAACATCATTCTGAGTGAGGTTAGCCTGGCCCAAAAGACCAAAAATCATATGTTCTCCCTCATATGCGGACATTAGATCAAGGGCAAACACAACAAGGTGTTTGGACTTTGATCAAATGATAAAGTGAGAGCACACAAGGGAGGTATGAGGATAGGTAAGACACCTAAAAAACTAGATAGCATTTGTTGCCCTCAACACAGAGAAACTAAAACAGATACTTTAAAGTGACAGAGGCCAATAGGAGAAGGGGACCAGGAACTACAGAAAAGGTTAGATCAAAAAGAATTAACCTAGAAGGTAACACACATGCACAGGAAAGCAATGCAAGTCAACTCCCTGTATAGCTATCCTTATCTCAACTAGCAAAAACCCTTGTTCCTTCCTATTATTGCTTATACTCTCTCTTCAACAAAATTAGAGATACGGGCAAAAAATTTCTGCCTGGAAGCAAGGGGGTGGAGGGAGAGGAAGGGGATAAGGGAAGGGGGGAGAGATTACCCAAACATTGTATGTACATATGAATAAAAGAAAAAAGAAAAAAAATTTTAAAAAGACCCATAGATAAAAGGAGAGAAAATAAAACTATAAAGCTATCCTTATAATCAAAGTAACAATGAAGCAAACAATATAAACCCTTGAACAGTACATATTGAGTTCTAAACATTTCTAAGCTCCTTATGTATACAAACTCGTTTAATTCCCACAACACCAGTGAGGTAGAAAGTGTTTTCATCTTTACTTTTTACAGGTGAGCACTCTCAGGCAGAGTCCTCTCTCAGTGCAATACGATTAAGCCATGACATGAAAAACCCAGGTAGTATAGCACCATGCTCTTAATCACTTCATTGGGGGTGGAAGGGTGTCATATGCAACCACTTGCATGCCAAAAACCAGACCAGGGGAAAAAAAGATGCTTCCAACACAATTAAGAATATATCCCAGCTCAGTCCAAAACTAATGACTTGTGGACCAATATCCTGAGTTAACACTGCTGCTTAAGGATGACTGAGCAGTACACAGTGTTAAGACCTGCACCCCTCCATAGAAAGTGAGCATCTGGGATGCAGGCAGACACTGTGCTAATGTGTACTGTAATGCAAATGCTACTGAAGGATGTCTCTAGCTTTCTGTTGTAGTATGCAGGACATCCTCAAACACTTACTAATCATTTTTAGAATATCCACTGGCTCCTAATTCTTAAATTTAAAAAGTCTGTCCACATTATTCTCTAGAAATAAATGTATTACCTCTTCACTCTCTTCTCTCCAATAAAAGTCTCAATCAAAAGCAAGTCTGGTACAACATGGTCCAACACAGTGGTATCTGAGCCATTCTGCAGAGCTCCTAGGGCTGGAGGCTATGCACCTAACACTTCCTGTACTGCTGTTGTTTCCTCAGGGCAGGACTTCTGGTTGCCTGGCCTGACAGGAAACTTCACAACTCCGTGTGTGTGTGTGTGTGTGTGTGTGTGTGTGTGTGTGTGTGTGTGTGTGTTATACACACATATGTATGTGGGTATATATATGTATGAATATAAATATATATATATATTCATTCATTGGTGTTTTTGGATTTGAACCCAGGACCTAGCAAGTGCTCTATCACTCTACCACTTGAGCACTTGAGCCGCCCCCCCCAGCCCTTCTTGCTTTTAGTTATAGGGTACCAAGCTTTTTGTTCAGGCCAGCCTAAAACCACAATCCTCCTATATGGGAGGGATTATAGATGTGAACCACCATGCCCAGTTTATTTATGAGATGAGCTCTTGCTATAAGTTTTTGCCTAGGCTGGCCTCCAACCATAATCATCCTGATGCCTCCTGAGTAGCTGAGATTACAGTCATGAGCCACTGTACCTGGCAACAACTCTCTCTTTAGACAGTTCATTAACAACTAGTAAAAATGGAAGGACTGACAACATGCAACTACAAAAAAAGTAGGGAAAAAAGTTTATTGGCTTAGGATCTCTATAATCTTGAATCTTTCTCTGAATCCAGACAATTCTATTTTCTAACTTAACAAATTTGAAAGTTGGCTACAGCTTTCTATATAATAACTAAGAGGTACCTATAATCTCAAAAGCTGAGTAATGACATGTCTGCATATAATTGATCTGATTTCTACCTACTTACAAAAGAAATCATCAATAGCCTGTGTCAAGTGTCATATTTCTTCAAATATGTATGTATGTACAAATGTAGGATTGGAATTAGGGGAAGGAAAAATTGCACAGATTTTAGAAATATCTTTTCATTTTTACTTAACTGATTTCACATAAGTGATATGAAACACTAATTCAAGTTATCACTTTAAAAGAAAAATATTGAGAATATGCTGTAATTAAATAATAAACTGTATCTTATGCCATGAGTAAGGATTTTAGATTTAGATTTTGAAATAATAATTACATAGAGGTATCATAAATTTCTTTCTTAAATTGTTGAACGGTCTTTGTAACAATGAGTACTTTACTAGTGTGACAATCAAGTAATACAAATTCTCTCGAGGTCCTGAACTGGACACAAAGAAAACTATTCAGGAATACCTTGATTTCAAGGATTGGGAGTGTATTTTGGTAGCTGACTGTTTGCCTAGCAATTCATAAGGCTCTGGGTTCCATCCCAGCATCCCCCTAAAACCAAAAAAAAAAAAAGACCACCTGATTTGTGAGTTTTACACAGGAAGTAACCCAAGGGCTGAGGGCTGATGGAGCTGTAAAACAAATACTGTAAAGACTCCTCTAGGGAACCTTGGGTCTTACTTTGTAGTCCAGACTCAAACGGTACTGCTATTTTCACAATTAAGGAAAAAAAGATATGGTGGGGGATCCAATAATTTTCTGAATACAATGAAAACTCAGCTTCAATATGAGAGTTTCTAGATTCACTCAGGTGTTCTAATACATGAAGCAGGGTCACATGTTCCAACTTTGTGAACAATGCTATCTAGTCCTGACATATTTAGAAGTATGCTCACTAAAGGAAGGCGTAAATATTTTCTTCAAATATGTATGTATGTACAAATGTAGGATTGGAATTAGGGGAAGGAAAAATTGCACAGATTTAGAAATATCTTTTCATTTTTACTTACTGATTCACATAAGTGATATGAAACACTAATTCTGGAAGTTATCACTTTAAAAGGAAAATATTGAGAATATGCTGTAATTATAATAAACTGTATCTTATGCCATGAGTAAGGATTTTAGATTTAGATTTTGAATAACATAATTACATAGAGGTTATCATAAATTTCTTTCTTAAATTGTTGAACGGTCTTTGTAACAATGAGTACTTTACTAGTGTGACAATCAAGTAATACAAATTCTCATCGAGGTCCTGAAACTGGACAAAGAAAACTAGTTCAGGAATACCTTGATTTCAAGGATTGGGAGTGTATTTTGGTAGCTGACTGTTTGCCTAGCATTCATAAGGCTCTGGGTTCCATCCCAGCATCCCCCCTAAAACCAAAAAAAAAAAAACACCTGATTTGTGAGTTTTACACAAATAACCCAGGGCCTATCTGATGGAGATGTACAAACACAAACTGTAAAGACTCCTCTAGGGAACCTTATAACAAAACAGTCACCTACCTTCTACAATATCCTCAGGCTCTTCATCTTTATCATCCGGTCCATCACTTTTTAAAGAAAACAGCAGAAAGAGTTAAAAAAAAAAAAAAAGTTTAATTAGTAACATATTAAAACAACCGCTTAGAATTGTAGTATGGAATGATGGTTACAATATGACATATGACATTTAGAAAGGGGAGAAATGACAATAAAAAGCAAGCTTTGCTTCTCACATCATTTCATGTTAAAATATGAATTTCAAATGATGCCTACAGTTATCAAAAAACAAGAAGTCCTACCTTGGTATTTAGAGCCAAGTAATTTCTTAATAAATTGAATTTAAAATAATGTAAAGCTGAACTATTCTAATTTAAGTATCACAAAATGTCATGAATAATAAAATATTAATGCCATTTAATACTGAAGTTAATAAAAACATTTTCCTATGCTTTTATTACATATGAAATAAAACTACATATAAAAACAAAATAAAACTAAACAAAAAAACAACAGAAATCCTGTAGGAAGCAAGCTCTTTTTAGTGAAACAATTGGTAGAATGAAAAACAGCAAGCAGAGCAACTCATGCACAACAGTCGCACATTTGCAATTAGATGTCAGTCACGGTTTAGCAGAGTGGATTTTTTTCATTAAATGTAAATTCATCAAGCAGAATCATGTCAAAATACAGGAGAAAAGCAGATTGATACATATGGGCACTGTGACCCACATTCTCTTAAGAGTATGACATCATGCATTAGTGGTGAAAGACTCATCAGTTTTTAAGTTTCTAGACTGGACCAACCTGTCTGATGTAGGAAAGGATAAATTGTCCTCATACAAATCTCCTTCTAAACCAAGACTGCTCCAGCTACTGCTGTTACCATTACTGCTGGAGGAAGAAAACAACAGAGCTGAACTAGAGAATGAACCATAAAGACCACCTTTGTTCTCCTTCGAACAGCTTCTGTCTTTGATTCATTCCTGCACATGTCCGGAAGCTGCCACATGGAGTGGAGCATCCACAGAGCGAACAAGAGACCATCACTGTTACTCTAGGGCACACGACAGGGTTCGAGACTCAGGAGTCTTTTCCTTTGTCCTCAATAGATCATGGAAATTATTCCGAACTTATTATTTACTTTACAGATTAAGACAACAGAATAGCTTTTAGGACAGTAAATGAATGCATGATGAAATTAATATTATGTGGCAAATCATAGGATGTAATTTATAAAAAGGTAATTCTCTTTGGTTTGGATAAAATTTGAAAAGAAAAAAACATAGGTTATGGTTCTCTCAAGTTTTTAATTAACGTACAACAGTGATGGGCTTGGATGGAGTATAGGGCAGATGGGTCAGATGCACCAAAACAGACAAAACTTATCTTCTGATTTTAAAATTCTCTCATTACGTCATTGTCAGTTACATTTCATGGACTACAGTGAATTCAATACGTGGCAAGTAACATACATTTTCTTCAGAATAAAGCTAGAATAGCCAAGGCTTAATTAAGCATTATATTTTTCTGTTCAGCCAATCATCAATGCCACACACAGAAAATTTCTGACACTACCCAACCAAAACAAGGAAGCAACTATATTCTACAACTGCAGCAAAGCAATTTTTCTAAAAGAAGCAACATGTTCAAAAACAAAATTAAATTCAATTTTCAAATTAAAACCTTCAACATGCAATTTAAAAATTCTAATCATTCCTAATTATTAAAATAATTAGTAAGCACATTAGTTTGCAGTGATAAGCAGTTATATGTTCCAATATTAGCTTAGCCTATTATAAAAAGTAATATTTATGCAAACCAAAATTTTGGTTCTAAGGAATGAATTAACATAAAATCATTGCATGTGCATCAATAAATATTGACAAGGTTACCAAAAAAAGGATCATCACTTAACGTTCTAAATAGTTTCCAAGCAATCTCAAATAATTTATATACCCACATTCAACACAAATTGTCACAAACCATAATGTCTTAGAGAATGAAAGTAAAATTAATCAACTCTTTTCAACATATATTCCAACAAATACAGTTCTATTATAAAGCCATTAAAACAACCACAGTTTTGTCCACGTAATCTGTTGTTAGACAAACCAAAAATGAGGAAATATAGAAATACATACTGGAAAGACAGATCTAAGTCAGAGAAAAAGAAAATCAATGATCTCAAATACTGTACTTACTTCTATTAACAGAATGATTAAACAAAGAGAAATACAAATTCTTACCCATATCCTATGAGCACATGATAAAAGCGAGAGCACACAAGGGAGGGGTGAGGATAGGTAAGACACCTAAAAAACTAGCTAGCATTTGTTGCCCTTAATGCAGAGAAACTAAAGCAGATACCTTAAAGCAACTGAGGCCAATAGGAAAAGGGGACCAGGAACTAGAGAAAAGGTTAGATCAAAAAGAATTAACCTAGAAGGTAACACCCACGCACAGGAAATCAATGTGAGTCAATGCCCTGTATAGCTATCCTTATCTCAACCAGCAAAACCCCTTGTTCCTTCCTATTATTGCTTATACTCTCTCTCTACAACAAAATTAGACATAAGGGCAAAACAGTTTCTGCTGGGTATTGAGGGGGGGGAGCGGGAGGGGGTGCAGTGGGTGGTAAGGGAGGGGGTGCAGTGGGTGGTAAGGGAGGGGGTGGGGGCAGGGGGGAGAAATGAACCAAGCCTTGTATGCACATATGAATAATAAAAGAAAAATGAAAAAAAAAAAGAAATATCTTTAACTGTTTAAAAAAAAAAAAAGAAATATCTTTAACTGTTAAAAAAGAAAAAGCATACTCTCTTCTGACTCTTGTAAAATTAAATACATTATAACAAACTAAAAAAAAAAAAAAAAACAATGATTCTTCCATTTAACTAATAATAAAAATCTCCCATATAACAATGTAAAGCTTAAAAATTCAAAATCCCCTAACCTCATCTCTTCCCTCTGTACCTCAAAAATGGGTCAGATTTGAAGTCATTTATTTATAAAATACCACTTCTAACTAGAATGACCATATAATTTTTCATCTAACCAGGACACTTTTGAAAATGAAAGAACAGCCGAAGTAAGCCAGGACTACCTAAGTGAGCTGGAAAGTATGAGCACCCTACATTAATCCAATACACACAGACACACACAGACACACACAGACACACACACCCTTAATTTCTTCACTTATCAGACTTCTTATTCCATTCTTTTGATTGTTTGTTTTGGTGGTACTGGAGTTTGAACTCAGGGCCTCTGGCTTGCTAGGCAAGTACTCTACCACTTGAGCCACACCTCAGCCCTTTTGCTTTGTTTTTTTTTCAAGTGGGGTCTTACATTTTTGCTCAGGGACAGCCTCAGACTTCCATCCTCTTACTAGCTAGAATACAAGCACAAGCACAAGACAAGAGGCCCAGTTTATTGAGATGGGGGTCTCACCAACTTTTTGCCCAGGCTGGCCTTGAACCATATCCCTCTTGATCTCCACCTCCCAAGTATCTATGATTACAGATGTGAGCCTCTACACCCAACTTACCTATTCCTTTTTTGAAACATTGTCTTGCTTCTAATATTTTTTTCTATGTCTTTTTTCATATTTCCTATTTCTGAAATAGGCATATTTATACCCTTGAACCAGTGGTAGTGAAGTTCTATATGAAGACTACTATCAATGAGAGAGAGGGAGTGAGGGAGGGGAGGACAAGACAACAGAAAAGGCTACTGAAAAGTTCAAGAAATTTTAAAGGTCAGACATCATAGTACATGCCTCTAATCCTAGCACGTGAGAGGCTGAGGCAGGAGGACTGAGTCTGAAACCAGTCTAGGATACACAGTGAGACTCTTCCCAAAAAAAACAAAACATTAAATATATATTATGGATAACAAAATACATTTTGAAAGTAGTGATAGACTGCCTAATTTAAAATTTTTAAATAAGACTATGTAAATGTACAGTCCAATTCTGAGGTCTGAAGTCCTAAATGACACAATTACATATAAAATGTTAGTTACCTTTCACTTAGATGATGAAAACTGCTGCTTTCATCCTGGTGATCATCCTCAAAACTTAAATTGGACCAGCTACCAGTGCTGTCCTCACCAACACTGAGGTTCATCTGCTGGCTACTAAATGACTCAGTTGACTGAAAGTCTTCTGTTTCTTTTGAACTAAACAAAGGAAAAAAAATTTTTTAATCACACAAAACAATCAAGGATCCTGAATTATTAGACCACTGAATTCATGATAAAGATGACAGTAAGAAGACATGATACTCAGAGTCAAATACATGTCCCTTGAACCCTTTGCTGTGCCTACTAATAATGAGACTATGCATGATAGTACAGTGACTTCAAAGTTAACTGAGGTGCCCAATCTATGAGCTGGTTCCCTTTCATAATGTCCACCTTATTGCTCACCTCCCTGGCTCACTCTTCTTTAGCAACACAAGCCTCTCCACTACTTCCAAACATACACAGTTCTACCTCTTTGCACAGACCCCACTTCCCTTTGATTCTCAGTAACTTATTTGCTCTTCACCTTTGGCTCTTGGCTCAAATACTTCTTTACCAATATTGCTTCTTCTGCTACCCATGCAAAACTGCAAACCATCCCCAACTGCTGTTGCCTACCATTGCCTTCAGCACTCTCTTGACAACTTTTCTTGATTTTTCATCTGCTGCACTTTTTACTACAGAACATACAATATTTTATTCATCTTATTCTTATTAGAATAATTGTCTTATTCTACTATAACAGAAGCTCTAAGAAAACATAGATTTTTTTCCTGCTTCACTTTCTTCTATATCCCAGTGCCTGAAACAGTCCCTCCATTTAGGCAATCCTCATTTTGTATTTAAGATATGATGCCAAATTACATTGGGCATCCGAAGACAGGTACACTATAGTTCTGAACAATAAAGAACACTACTTTGTTCTTTTTCAACACTTTTCCTGTAATATGCCACATTTTTGTGGAAATGACCCACAGGATGAAGTCCAGAATAAGAGTCTTAATGACTGCTAAGTGATTTTGGCTCAGAAACAACAGTTCAGAATAAGTCTAGATGCTTTGTTCTTCTAAAAATGCACTATCATATAATGATATGACAGAATATCCCATGTGATATTCACATGACATGCCTGTGAACATCATAGCTTTGTGACATATATATGGTTATTTCCATGACTCAAACACAGGGACATTAGTGAAATAATTCAAATAAAATCTCAGAAAATAATCCATTTGAATGAATCCTCCTTCAAGCCTAAACAAGAAACAATTTCAGTTTTAGAACTAGAAACAGTAAACTGTACACACTAGAGTCAACTTTTAATACTCTGCAGTTACAGAACCTAAGAATTATTAATAAAGGAGAAACAGGAAAAGTACTACAAAGTTGTATTTTCTGTAAATATCAGTTTGGAAAAAAAGTTAGCTTACACAACTCCAGCAGTCTATCTACTCATAAGCTCTAAGAGGGAAAAGTGAACGTACTGAAGAATTAATATCAAAGGAATTTACTAGGTCCTGGGAATGGTGTCTTAGAAACTTCAATCTAGAGTGTTTTCCTCCCATGAGGCTGGAATGGGAGAAGAGGAACAGAAGTAACCTGAGGTTGCTTGTATGAGGAAAATTGCTTCAACTGTAAAAAATGGCATAGCTCGCTATCACTCACTTTTAGTATTTATTCACCATGTATCATGTTTATCATCATAAACTAATCACAAACAAAGAAAATGTGGGTCTACAACAGAGATTCACAAACGTTTTCAAAAAGGGTCAGAGTAAACACTTAGATGTTGCCAGCTATCTGGTCTCTGTTGTAACTACTCAATTCTCCCACAAAGCACAAAGGCAACCACACAAAAATACATAAAATGAATCAGCCACACAAAAATACATAAAATGAATAAGCATGATTGCATTCCAATAAACTTTATTAAAGATGAAATGTGAATTTCATATAATTTTGTGTCACAAAATATTGTTCTGCTTGATTTTTTTCAATCACTTCTTAAAAATGTAAAAACTTTTCTCAGCTTGCTATCTATACCAAAACAAGCAATAAGCCACACAAAGCCAACAGATTGTAGATTGCCAATCCCTGATCTAGAACAATCAAGACTACCTGATTAAGGAGATAGAGACCTTCTCAAATTCACAAGAAGACTAGAGCATCTCTCATCCCAAGAGGATGCCTTGGAACTATTGGGTTCAAAAGTCCTGGCCAAACTGCATCTCCCTATTTAAGGATGGCTAAGAAAGGTAGCAGTCTGTCTGTCACAGTTTTGACAAAGCTACTCAAAAGTCTGGGGTATCACGTGATGCAATTGAGTCCTGCCTCAATTCAAAGCATTTTCTATTTCCATTGGGACTTACAAATATGATCCTACAAACTAATAACATAGGTTGGTCCTGATGTTTTCTCAGGAAGAAAGAAGATTACAAGTGAAAATGTTACCTAAAATGTTAGAATCACTGAGCACAAGAGACATCTACTGAAGAACAGGACACTGTAGAACCACCAGAAATAACTGTCCCCATAAGCTGAGCTGATCTTCAAGAGAGGTGGTGGCACTGTGGAGAATGCTTGCATTCTTCCTCAAAGGAGTTTGATTACACCATGCTCTTTATAAGATAACTTACCTTTGTGAACAGGAAAAAGGAAACATTGTATGAAAATTCCATCTCAGAGTAGTTAATTAGTATGATAATAGTCTATATTTGCTGTATAAAATTCTCCAGCTGTTTCTTTGATCCAACTTTACCTGCTTCATAGCTGTATGAATTTGGACAAGGTAATATTTTCTCTAGCCCTCATCTTCCAGCCCTGTAAATGGATATCTTCCCTCAAAAGGGAGACAAAATATATAAAAGCAATGGGTAGGATATGAAGCCATATATAAAATCCAAGAGTGAAAATTTTTGTTAAGTTAGGTGAAAATAATTATACTTTCATGAAGACCCCCATATATGTGATCAGGCTTAACTTTTCTTTTTGTCACAAGACCCTAAAAATATTTGAAACTTACCTGCTGACAGTATGTCCAACATTCTTCATGGCTGATGTCATTATTTCTGTGGTAAGGCTTTCAGCAAAGCTAATACCATCTTGTCCAATTCCACTATCAGCTGCCAAACTGGCATTGCTCAGCTCTCTCTCTGCTTTTTCAATAGCTTCAGTAACTATCTTCTCAGCCAGCACTGACTTTTTATCAAGATTTACATGAATCTGAGGGACATCAAGATGAAAAATTCGGGATTTCTGATAGATGTTGGTTAACTTTGGATTTGAAGCTGGTTTACTACTAACACATGACCCCAGTCTAAAAAAGTGCTCAGATGAATTTCCAGTACAATCATGGAGTTCTTTAAGGTCACAATATCTGCAAGCTTGATTTATAAGAGGTGACAACTTTTCAGCATAAGTGATTCTATCTGCTGATTTTGTGGTCTCAGAGACTTGGAAAACTGTGGATCCTAGACTTAGTCCTAAAGTATCATCCACTACTTTTTTAGCATACTGTTCTATAGTTTGAACAACATTCTCTCCACAACTATATCCATTTAAGCTGCCAGTACTATGATAAAAGTCATGATTTTGTGAGGAAGGCTGAAAAGACTTAGGAAATTCTGATTTAAGGAGACATTCAGTATCTTCAACACATACAGATTTTTCAAAAATGCAAGAATCTGTTAAGGATTTTGTCAAGTCAACGGCAGGTGTTGTCAACTCTTTTTTAACATCTCTTGTTATACTGTGAGCAAGAGAAGCTGAAAAACTATAGAGTTCAGAAAGTTCATTTCTGCATGGATCTTGTGTCTTTCATAAGTATGATCCTTACAAAGGTAGCCTGCATTTCTTTTTCTTTGTTTTTTTTTATCTACTTCTTGGTGGTGCTCTTTATTTGAGAACATCAAGAGTTCACTGTTTGTTTTCCCCTGTGAGCTCTTCACAGGGACCATTTTTGAGTTGCACTTCATTTTGGCTGTCTTAGCTGCTTCTTGCAATCCTGACTTAACAGAGCGATAAGCAAGTCTATTGGCATATTGATCCATTATTAACTCATCATTACCACCTTCCTGTTTTAGTATTTGGAGAACATGACCTGCATATTCATCTGTCACACTTTCACAGCTGGGATACTTATATGTTAAACCTGACATACAAAAGCTTGGTGGTAATGAAAGAACAAATGGATCCACTTCTCTGGGATGTGCTTCACCCTCCATATTCAACTTCTCTTCTGATCTATCTCCATCACCAACAACATGACAACTGCTCTTCTTTTGCCTAAAAAGTGCACAGCTCCTAACTTCTGCTATTTTCTCAGCTTCTGTAATGACTTCTGCTGCCAAATCACCTGCAAAATTCCAAGTTTGTAAATTTTCATCTGAATGGCTTAAAAAAGTAGGCAATAAACTGCTTTGACTCTGCACATTTAAGGAAGGCCTTTGAACCTCAGCTTCTTGAGTTATTTCATGATCTAAATGGGAGGCTGCCGTCTCAGTTGCAAGAGAAATGATATGTGTAGCTAGTGCTTCTGCAAACTGAACTTTCTTCCCTGAGTTCTCTGACTTCACATCTACTTCTGGATGCTCTTCACCTTCACTACTTTCAACTTCTTCTGAAAGAGAGCGCATAAGTTTCAACATGAACTCTTCTTTTTCTATAGTATTTTGCTCATTTTCAGACAAACTACCAACTGATGAGTTGTGAGGTGTAGAAGGTGGTGTAGCAGGTGCAAATTCTTTGGCTAATTCTCCCTTAAGCTTTTTGGTTAATTTCTTGATGTCCCATTCTGAACTAGCCTGAGATGGTACTAGAGGAGTTGATGGAGGAGTACCAGGTATTACATTTCTGTCTCTGATTTTCTGTTTATCTTCCACATGAAAACCATCTGTACAAGTAAGCACTGTAGATGACAAAGTCTGTGAATGACGAAAAGAGCTTTCCTGTCCAAAAGATAAGGGCTCAAGTGCTGTATTATTTGAAGTATGTTTTTTCACTGGTTTATCCTTAGCAAATTCTTTCAAATCAGGTTTCTGACTTGTCATTGTCAGACAAGGTGGTATCATCTCTAAAGAAAATCCAAGAGCCACAGAATCTTTACTTTCTGGGACACAATCCTTTTCAACTGAAAGTGAACAGTGATATAAGTGATCTTGAGCATCAGAAAATTTTGGAAACTTTTCCAATGTCAACTGTGATTCTTCTCCAGGAACAGGCAAGCCTTCCTCATACACTGCATTTTTATCTATATTTGGGACCATTGTTTTGCTTTTATCTATGGAATGCTTAATAATAGATTTAGATAACTGTTCAGCAAACATGTCACTATTGCTAGTTTCAATCTGTTGTGTTGCTTGATCACAATGGGAAAAAGGAGAGGTTTTTCCCTTTCTTGTTTTAGTTAAGTAATCTGTGTGTTCATCAACTGTTTTTGTATCTTTGAATGATATCATTGACTCTAAGGTTTCATTTACTACTGTATGTGTCAGTGCTGCAGAAAAGTTGCTAATACTCACAGGATCACCTGCTAATGTTGAAGAATTCTGCATTTCAATATCATCATTAGTTGGTTTAAAGTCATTCTGGTTACCTGGACTGGGTTCTGAAGGTAAACATATATTTCTGATACAAGCTACTTCCTCTTTGTTTTTTGTGGAAACATCTGCTTTGCTATCTGCATTGCTATGATTAGATGACAGATGAGACTTTGCATGATAAATAGTAGAGGAGATATGATGTGGGAGAAGGGCACTTCCTGCCAAGGGCACTGGTATGGAAGTGACAACTCCTGAAGTACAAAACAAGGCTTGCTGCACTGTGTATTCCTTTTTATAGTCCTGCATTGGTTTTGTCACCATAACTTCTTGATTGCTGAAACATGGGGAAACCGCCAAGGTCTGTGTAGATGGTGTGATCCTTTCTGTATTCATGTATTTGTTGTTACCTGTAGAAACACTAACTGCTGCCTTTGTTGTGAAGATCACATCAACTTGTGATAGCTCAATGAATGCTTCCTGTATTACAGATTCAGACAAATCTTTTGCATACAATTTCACTACTTTGTCTTCAAAGTTAAAGGACTGACCCTGGGGAGATGCGGGTGTTGACGGATATGAAAACTGACAGACTTCCATAATACCTTCAAAAACAAGCTCTTCTGCAAGATCTGCAGCAAATCTCGCAACTGTGTTTGTAAATATCTGCTTCTTCACATATTGTAAGTCTTTGAAGGCATTTGATAAGGCTTCACTCACCAAAAAATTAGCCAGGCTACCAATGGCACGTTCTTTCAGTGAAAATGCATGTTGCCTTCTCAGTTCATTAAATGCCATCTGAAAAATAGATGATGTCAATTTGATTGCTAAGTGGCACAATGCATTGGTACATGAAGAGACGCCTTTCTGTAAATCCTTAAACGCACTACCAAAACTTTTTTCCACAAGATCTGTTGCAAATTTCTGAATACTATCTTTAATCATTAAAGATTTAGTTTTATATTTACCTTTTTGATCAAGGTTTCCATGCTTAAAAGCTACAGTTTTATTTTCTCCCCTTTTAATACTATTAATGTTTGACATTGCATTACCATGCTGAGTATGAAGAACTGAGTCTAGTACTTCACATGAAATGCTATTTGCATAATCTTCATAAGTGTGATAAGCAGAATCATGATTTTCATGAATTCCATCTCCACAAATAGCCACTTGGCAAAAACATTCAGCAGGAGTACAGCTTCCAAGAGGACTAAAAGCAGAGGATCGAATAGGGCTAAACAAACCGCTGTCTTCCCCTGATGCCTTCACTGGACGAGGAGAATCTGGAGCATCACCCAGGTTACTGTATGGAGATTCTGGTTTACGAGGAGTTGGCTTTCTTACATTAGCTGGAAGAGCTGGCTGATCAGATTTGAATTTTTGAGGATTCATACAAGATTTTTCATGTTTGTGCCCTTTCTTCTGTGATGACTTTCCGACAGCAGGATCTTTTATAAACAGACAAGAAGTCTCTAAAGCTTGTTCTAGTTCATCAAACTGATCAAAACTATCAAAAAATTCACTTACTTCTGAGTCTGAATCCTCTACATCATCTTTCATCACAGGAATTTTAGGCAGCTCAAGTTTGGCTTTTAAACTTTTTTGATATCCCTCTTCATCCAAGAAAATAACAGGACTTGGACTTGAGCATTCTGATTCAGATGAGTAGGCAGGAGAAGAAGAAAAAAATGTTTTCTGTGTATCACCACCTTTATCTGAACCATTAGATGGCCTATAGAAACTCCTTTGGATCCAAGGCTCTGAAACTGACATTGTGACTGAAGTTTTCATGGAAGGTTGTTTGCGTCCTATAACATTTACTAAGGAAGATGAGGGTTTAGCCAGTGCCTTCTGTTGTCCAGTGCTAACCAGAATCTTTAAATCATGGGTTTCTAAATGATGACCAGAAGTCTGAGAAGCAGCATCACACTGGCTCCTTAGTGTAGTAATATTTATTCCTATAGGGAAAGAATAAGGTACAATTAAATTATTCCAGAAAATAATTTTTTTTAATTTAAATCAATGAAATAAATTGACGTTAAACATGAAATGTTTATTTATAACATGTTTTCTATACTACATTGTTTAACAGAAAGATCCTGCCCAAGTAACACTTAGAAACAAATATACCTTTTGATAAAATTTCAATTCACCCTATGTCCAGGGACACCTAGACTATGGATTGCTTAGCATGCTGTCATTCAAGTTAGAAACTACTATGTTGACTGCCAACTGACTATTCTGATACTTGAACCTAGGAATGTTCTGGACACTAGGCGAAAGTGTTGCCTAAATCAAATTTCAACTGAGTAATTCTTCTTCTAAACCTTCAAAACTAAATCTTCAACTTTAATCTCCTATTTCTAGAAAAAAAAAAAAAACTCTAGTCTAAAAAAAAAAACAAAAAACACAAACCATCATTATATGGCTTTGAAGTCTCTTCTTCCTCTAACTGCTCAAAAGCAGTGACAAAGTCATCCTCTATGGAAGACACGGACTGGTTAGTGTCGTCGTCATCATCGTCAGTGGTCTCAAGTTGGTGCTTCTGATGCAAGTATGTGTCCAGGGTATACCTTATACCAGTAGCATATTTACTTAGAAGACTAAAGATAAAATCAAGTCTGAGTTTTGGTAATGTAGGTGACACTCTCATGACACAAAGCATTCCAGAATGATGACTCTTGGGAAAGATGAAAGACAATAAAAACAATTTTAATTTTAAATAGAAAATATATTATCTAGAAGTGAAGCCTAGAAAAAATAATCTCAGAGAAAAAACAAAAAGCAAGGAATGTATGCATCTGAAAGATTTTGTTTTGCAATGTTTTATTTTTGCATTCTTCAATTTCTCACCTCCTAGTCTCTTTTCTTCCATTTTTTCCTCTTACCCATATACTCAAATTCTACCTAGTCTATCTCCTCAAATGTTATAGAACCCACGATTCATTTTCTTGGGTAATTATGCTTTCCTGTATCATTGTAATATTGATCATTCACCTATCTTATCAACTATACTGTAAACTGCTGAGGACAAGAACCAAGTTCTATTTTACTTGTCCTATTTTCCTATAGCTTCCAGCATGATATCACTTTCCCTCCTATCAGATGGGGTAATTTTCTCCTTGTTTTACTTAAATTTCTCTGGTATTAAAACTTAAAATAATGCTTACAGTTTTAATTAAAAATACAAGTCACCAGATTTTCTCCTGTATACTGTCTTTAAAAATGCAAATATTGACAAGTGACTTATTTTAAAAAGCAGAAACCAAATATGGTAACTAATCATCATTTATATCCTAGCAAATAAACAAAGTAAATATGAGTGAAGAACATAATTAAGGAAATGAGGCAAGCAGTTCTACTTTTAACAGTAGATCTCATAAAGAACAAGGCAGTATTTTATATATGGAGTAAGTAATCCAAATTTTAAACCTACTGATTCAGTGGTAAATGTTTTGCCTCCTAAAATGCAAGGCATTTTTCTTCAAAACATTATCAACAAAATCATACTTACTAATGAAATAAAGGCTGAGTATTATAAAATTATCTGTCTGAAATGGTAACATTTTTGTTTATAAATAACACATCATCAAGTGATTATTTTACATGAAAAACTTTTAACTAGAAAATGAGTGTGAAATACATTCTCTAAACATACAGCACAATATGGACAAAAAGGAGAAAAGTCCTTATGGTTTGTACAAAGGTAGAAATTAAAAGAAATCCAGAAATAATGAATTTTCATTTAAAAATTCATATATACTTACATACCATTGGAAAAATTAATTTATAGCTACGGCCAAAATTACTCTGCTGCAGGAATGTCAATGTTGCATGGGTTAGATTTCTTATGAATACTATTTCCTTGAGATAGCATTGCAACAACAAAAAACTTCATCCAAACATTTCAAAGTATAATACTCTTGATCAAATGCAGTATAATTTTCCCTGAAAAACTCATTAGAAATGCTGTATAAAAGTTACCTGGTTTAGGGAACCACTGCTTATATCTGATGGTTTATTTATATCCTTCATACAAATAATTTCATTTTCATTTAGACTGCAGAAGTGGAGTGAATTCAGAAGATCTGGAAGTTCCAAAGAAACTGCAGCTAAATCCTAATTTAAAATAATAACAATAAGTAACACTACAGCATAACACTTTTGTTAAAGTTCCTATAGTATGGTACATATCAAAATCATAAATAAGGTCTACTGGTAAATAAATTTCTTGTTTCATAATAGTTCACATACTCTATTATCCATAGTCAGTTTCCTAAGCCTCAAATATATATATATATATATATACTAAAATCATTTAATACTGATTGCTATCCAGCTATATATTAAATTTTAACATGGCAACTCACACATCCAGGACAACTAGGCATTTGGTAGTTTTAAGTGAGTGCCAACCTATAATCCTTAGCTCTAACTCTGAAATTTTTCATAGGGGATTCTTGGCTATTGAACATGCTTCCTCAAAGCTTAAGTTTTAGCTTTGAAAACTGCAAGTCCATTTTTCTGCCTTTCCTCTTGAAAGTATTGTATTGGTCTTTAACTAAAAATTTTACAAAGATTAAAGAAAGCAGCTTTTTTTCCCTCTTGTTGCCCATTTATGTAAATATTTTATCTAGCTAAAGAATTATTGAAGTCTTTGACCCTTACAAAGTACTTTGCTTCATAAACCCGGTTTTACCAGTAACTCTTAAAAGAAGAATATGAGAAAAACACTTTCCAGCTGTATGTTTCCAGGAATATGTCCTCTGTCCCTTCTGGTCATGCCATTTCCCTCTAGCAAGGCAACCAAGATCTACAATAGCTTCCTTCATAATCACCTAACATGCAGCATTAGAAAGATCTGGATTACAGTTCCTCTATATAATGTTCCTACTAGGAGATGCTTCACCATTACAAAAGGAAACATGTGGCAATCACAAATTTTCATCCAGCAGTATGAGGGAAAAGGAACTATATCTACAGGAGTTTCAACCACACTTTAAGCAGCCATCGACCTTTCCTTTGTTGCTCCTAATCACAAATAGCAGTTCTTCTATAAGTACCTAAATGAAACAGGTTAAAAGTTTTACACTGACTAGTTGTGACTTTTTACAAATCTTACCTTTTATATTTAACTTTATCTCAGCTAAAAATGTAAGAACTTATTCTGTTGGAGTCAAATAATGAACCGGCAAAATAAAGAAACAAATGTCACATACTATATAATGCGCGGAATGGAGAAAAGGCCCATCTGTGGTTTGTAGCCTTCTCAAATAAATGACTTTGGTAGTCAAACCTAAAGCTGCTTTCCATAACAAGAATTCTCAGGAAAAGTGCTAAAAGTGAAAATGTCCAAAGCATATTCAAACGTTGATCTCAAACTGTCACCTTTTAACTTTAAAAAGAAAGACACTGAAATAATTTAGTGTACATTTTAGGTATTATTTTTCATGTTCTACAAACTTGCTCCAAATAACCTCTTTCAGTTCTTTCCAGTTCAATAAATTGACCATACCTGCAAGTGAGCAGCATCTGTCTCTTCATTAAAGCCCAGAAATGTCACCTGAATGAGAAAGGAATAAAGCTCCATTAATTTGAGTTTTAAAATCTTGTCTTACATTGTTGACAGAGATGAAAAACAGAAAAAAAGCATAGTAAGATGGACAGAATACATTTTTCAAAGAAGGTTTTCCCCCAAAGATTTGATGCCACACTGCTGTTCCTAAACCTCACTGACACACACCCATATCTACAAGTTCAATCAATTCTACCATCAAAATGTATTTCAACTACACCCTCTTCTCTCCACTGCTCCTGTCACCTCCTCTCACCTACACGACTATAATTTTCTGACACCTGGTCCCACTGTCATGCCACTACCCTACAGAAACGTCATGCTTCCCTGGGAAAAATCTTAACGGGAGTTAGCGGATGCCTTTATTCTTCCCTCATTTAAGTTCCAACCAAGGGTTCCCTTTCTGGGTCTGGAACATACCCTGTACACTCCTGCTTAAGGTTCTCAAAGCTGTGCCCCCTTAATCTGGGATCTCTTTTCCTTGGATGTTGGCATGCCTGGATCCTGCTCATTCTTCAACTTCCAACTCCAATGTCATCTCCTCATAGAGGCCTTCCCTAGCTAGACCCCCAAGGCTTCTTGCTCACTGACCATCTGTGATACTATCATTTACTTCCTTTAACACTATGCAGAGATTGCTTAAGTTCATAGAAATTTCTAAGGAATATGTAATGGCATGAAGAAATGTCACATTAAGTCAAAAGAACAAGTAAAGAAAAAATGATAAAACAATATGCATATAGTTTCAATCTTATTTTTTTAAATATATGCATGAAAAATAATACTGGAATACACCAAACTCTTAACTATAAGTCACTCTAGAAGACAGAGTTATAGGTGATCTTATTTTCTTCTACTTCTTTCCTCTATGCCTTCTTTTTCCTAATTCATAAGATCAATGTCATTTCCTTTTATGCTTTCCATACTTCTCATTTTTCTACACAGAACATGTACTATTTTTAAAACCTGAAAAATGTGTTATTTTTAAAATTTATATTCTATGTCTGTCATCATAATGAGACTTTTTTTCCCTCTGAAAACAGAATAATAGGGTGGGGACACGGCTCAAGTAGTAGAGTACTTGCCTAGCAAGTTTAAGTTCATGAGTTCAATCCCCAATACCACCAAATTAAAATAAAGCAAGAAAAGGAAAGAAATAAAAAAGAAAAAGGAAAAAAGTCATTTACTAAGCAAATACTGTGGCTAAAAATATACAGTATTTAAATTATAGCAATATGGATGATAAGTTCTCAAGAAATTAGGGAGATATAGCACAGTTAAAATATGACTTGATACAAAATACACTCTGATCTCTTACATTTCAGAAACAAGCCAGAATCTTAAATTACCATGGTATCTTTATTCTGAGTAATTACGGTTATTACTTCAGAGAAGTGTTAGTTAACCTCCAGGCATGGAAATAAACTACTAACCTCTAAAAAGCTTGTCTAATCATCTATAAAACTTCAGGCAATATAACTCCTCTCCCTGACACATAGTAAACACTCAATAACAAATATATGTTCAAATAACAAGTTTCTTTCCTTTCTTCCAATAGATACTTTGAGATTAACATATTCTAAAGTGGGTCAGAGCTGGTGGAGTGGCTCAAGCAGTAAGAGTGCCTGCCAAAAAAAAAGAAAGAAAGAAAAAGAAAATGGTGGGACAGAAATTCTTTTTATTCTTTCAAACTTCCGTTACTGACTATGAAAGAGAAAACAAGCTGACATAGGGTGTTGGAGATGCCAGGAAAGTTGTCTATTTCTCATTGATCAAGGAAGATCTCATCATGGAACATAAGCCTGGAAAACAGAAGACTTGTCACACCTGGCCACAACTAAGTTAACTGAGTAGATTAAGAGTGGCTCAGCTTTACTAAAATAAAGTGAAATGGGACATCAAAGAAGATAAATCAAGAGCCACAGAAATTCAGTTGACGCTAAAAGAAAAAGAGTGGCAGATGGCAGAACTCTACAGGCCTTAACAAACTCATTGTCCTATGAAATGACATCAAGTGAACAATTTCTCAAGGAATAGCAAAGAAAATTATTCCCTAGAAAAAGAATAATCAAGGCTTTTATTAGAACCCTCATTTCAAAAACATCGTTCTAACTGAACATATTCATCAGTTTTAACCTGCAAAGACCTAATACCACATGTGGGAATCAAACCCAGGGCTCCACACATGCTACACAAGCATTTGACCAGTAAGATATAGTCCCAGCCCCCAAAACTATATTTCTTATTGGTAATACCAATGTGATGATAGTATATGGATAGGTAACTTTTTTAATCTTACTCTTTTTTTTTTTTTTTTTTTGCAGTAATGGGGTTTGAACTCAGGGCCTACACCTTGCCACTCTGTGCCAGCCCTTTTTGGTGATGGGTTTTTTCGAGATAGGGTCTCATGAACTACTTGCCCGAGCTGGCTTCAAACTGCGATCCTCATGCTCTCTGTCTCCTGAGTAGCTAGGATTATAAGTGTGAGCCACAAGCACCCGGCCAAATCTTACTCCTTTTTACAGTAATAAATTCAAACAAAGATTAGAAACACTGGATATAGAAGAAAAATAGCTGAGTAAGTTGTATATTTTATTCACAAGTAATAAATATCTTAATTTCAAAGATAAATTTATTACAACTTGTACACTTTAAATCAAAGCATTGACACAAAAAAAACCCAGTAATTCAAAAATATATATATATATGAAGTAAGCATTATTTTTATGTTTTAAAGAATGGAAAAATTGAATATTAAAGTACTAATAATAGAATATAGTAGGAATCACTAAAGACAGTGCTTATATATCCAATGAGTGGCCAATAACATCTAAGCACTGAATTAAATGTGCTTAGCATAATACATTAAGGCAATTATGTTAGCCAGCATTTAAAAGTTACTGCTAACAAATATGTAGATACATTTAAAAGAGGTCATATAGTCCTAAAGATGCATGAAAATAAACTGTGCTTTATTAATTGAGAGGGTTTAGAAAGTAATACGTCAAACCTCTGTTAAATTGGCTTGTTCATCCTGCTTTAAACAGTCCTCTCCTGACACACTGCATAGTTCCTTCTCACTCTGTAGTAAAGATTTTACAGACTGGAACACATCTTCACTGAAGCTCTGAAAAAAAAGAGGTTTTCAATTTTTTTAATTCTAAGGGTACTCGATGGAGAGTCACTCATTCCCCAATTAATTCATTTGGCACTGGGGTGGGAAGGGAGCTGAGGGAGAGAGATGATGGGGGAAATGTAAATAATATACAATGTAAGATTAATCAGAATTGTCACTACAAATCCTTCCCTATATAATGAATATATCCTAATTTTTTAAAGAAAACTCTATAGGGCTTCAAAAAACAACAAAAAATTTTGATTTGGCACTTTTTTTTTTGGCACTTTTTGATAACAAACTGGATTCAATTCAGCAGAGAAGAAAAATTCCATTCAAGTGAAAAGGCTTAATTAGAGTTCCATGTACCCCAACCACATAAATATACCAGAGCCTAGGTGTTCAGCTCCTTAAAAATCACACAGCCCCTCACACCCCAGGTTTACTTGGTCTTTCCTTATGCTAAAACTAACAGACTACGTATCTGATTTCCATGTCATTGGCAGAACAGAAGAAACGATATACATAAAATGAGTGAGATGATGAAGGCACTACAGTAAGGCACACTGCAACAGTGACTACTGCCCGTCCCTTAGTCATAACAAAATCCATTCAAAGCTCCTGTTGTGCTGTTTGCACATCAAGATCAGTTTATCTGATCCTTTTTTGGTTCACAAATGTGATGACTGGGTGATCATGCCTTTGCATGACATGTGCCTCCTTTAAACCTTGTTATGATGTTGGCACATTACCCTTCTGATGTGAACTTAGAGGGTCCTTCAGATTTTTTTTACTAAAAGATAATTTTGTCTATATCAGAACATTACAATTACTATATCATTTATATGTCTTTCCATTCATTATACCAAATCATTGAGGTTAGATACTATATTATATCTCATTCACTTTGTTTCCTCAGATATCAGAACCTCACATACTACAAGAACTCAATAAACACTGCTAAATTTAATAAACTAATGCAAATCTATGCCCTCAGAAGAGATATAAATATGAAATCAAAGAATTCAAGAAAAAAGATATGATGTTAAATTTCAATTTGACTTATCAGTATGAACCTGTAAGTCTTTAACTACATGTACTGCCTTTTTCCATTAAAAGTTCTTAGATGCAATGACTCTCAGTAGCAATAAGCATACCCAGTACCCAGATTTTGGTTTCTATTTCGAAACTGATTAAGAGACCCAGGACTTCTCTTAAAAATGGCTGGTTCCAGATCTGAAGCAGAGAAATTACGAAGTGAGCCTGTAATATTTAACTGTGCCAGAATGCAAGGGAAATACTCAAAAACTAATTAGTTTATTTCAAAAGACACAGAAGCCAGCTCAAAGGAATTCCAGGTGGCAAAATTTGGGATCATTAGGGCATCAAAAAGAATAAAATGGTAATGGATTATAACTTGAATTTAATCTTAGGACATTCTTCCTTACCAATGTTGGCTAACAAATATGGAAAGAATGACTACAATGGAAAATTCTACTTGTCACCTCCAATTCAGTTATTGATTTAAGGAAGAATTGTCAATGTATACTAAATCTGTTAAAAGCCATTGGGGAAGAGATACTTGGAGGGTTGTCTCAAACTGTCACCCTCCAGTATTTATTAATTGGATAATCATGAAGTTACTGTGTACATTCATACTGCGGATATCTGGCAGTTACCATCATGACCACCTCTTCAAATCAGATATCAACAACATGTTCCACTTGATCTGATGGACTAGAATGAGCACATTACCATGAGGTGTTCCTGCTGAATCTAATTATAGGGAAAACCAGACAAACCGAGAACAAGGGATGTCCTACAGAACTGGCCAAGACGCTTCCAAAACATGCTGTCACAAGAAAAGAACCTAGACCACTGAAACAGTCTATAATGGGGAAGATCAAAGAGATAAAATACCCAAATGCAGTGTGTGAACCTTAGCTGGATTCTAAGTTATAAGGAGATTTGAGAAAATTAAGAAAATCTATAACCAGGCACCTGTGGCTCATGCCTATAACCCTAAGCTACTTTAGCGGCCAAGACTGGAAGGATCATGGTTTGAAGCCAGCCCGGGAAAATAGTTCAAGAGACCCCATCTCTAAAATAACAAAAGTAAAATGGGCTGGCGGTGTGGCTCAAGCGGTAGAGCACCTGCTTTGCAAGTGCAAAACAGCAAAACAATGAGTTCAAACTCCAGTCCCACAAAAAAAAAAGAAAAGAAGAAAATCTATGTATGTACTATACATTACATGATGTTATTGAAGGGCTAGTAGACTGTTAACCATCCTCCAGTCTCCATTATTCGCCTCATCCTTTAAGTATTGCCCCAAAGTTTGAAAAAAGACAAAAAATGTCAATAAATAGAAGATTAACCAAATTGTTTTCACAGAGGAAGTGAGGGGGCTCTTCTTCAGACTAGAAAAAAAATCCATCAAGAATTATACTTCATTTGCTTGCTATTTTAATTACCCAATATCTAGCACAGGGCACAACATCCAAAAAGCACTCAAATTTATATTTTCTGAATGAACAAATGATAATATTTTTATATACATTTAGAGTAAAGTTAAAGGTACTGAAGAAAGTTTTTAGCCAGTGGCCTATATTTCACAGAAAAAGAAATGAAAGAGGCACTACGATTTAGGAAATAATACCATGGTAATCATGATTTCCTGTTGCTATCTTCACACATGCCAATCTCTGTAGTACTTTAATGTTAATAATTTAAGTAGGATTCATTTAAGAACTAAATATTATAGTTATAGGATTTCAAAATCAATCAACATTTCCATTAAAACTATTAACTGAAAGGAACCTAATACAGTGAACTTACTTTTCTGACAGATGCTCTAGTCTTCACATGACTATTTCTGAAAGGTTGGAAAGTCGCCATAATTACTACTATGATATGTGATCTCTGAAGAGTAAAGTCACAAAACTCCTAAAGAAAATGTAGAAGAAAACAACTTATTAAGCTTAGTAATTCAAGCAAGCATTTTGTGCTAAAATTTCTTTACTCTCAGGCATTTAAGGAAAAATAAAAATACTGAGCCTTAAAAATTTACTTAGCTATCCAACATATATATTTGAAAAATGGGTGATATAAATATATAAATTATAAAATCTTAATTTTATGTTCAAAATTATAGTTTACCTTTTTCTGTTCAATCTTACTGCCCTTTTTAATTGCAAAGCTTCAATAAAAATTATTTGAAAACCCTTTCTAAATCTTAGACAATATCACAAAAATATTCCAGCCTCCAAAAGGTCACTCTTACCTCGACAACAACAGCAAATGTTACGGACATTCTTATCTCTTGAGCAGAAAGTTTTGATACTACAGAAATGAGAATACGAAATCCACACATATAAAATTACAGATGAACAAAAGAAGACTACTTATATAGAAGTTTAAGAGCATACCAATGACGAGAGTTCAGAACACATCCAAGTTAAATATTTGGCAGTATGCAGTGCCTGTGCACACAAACATACTTGAAAACTAAGTCTTAACTTTGTAATGATGCTTTAATAACCTCCTTTGAGAACTTCAATCAAGTCAGAACATTAACCAATCAATCTCTGTATTTGAATGTAGGGTCTTACCTATTCATTTAGTATCTAATGCTATATGCTGTGGATATAGGGGAGACAAGACAGATATGGTACTCATGGATTCGGAGCCCTCCGTACAAAAAGTTTATTACAGTAAAGGGTAGCAGCGGGAGACTAAATTCCAACTAACCAAAAAATTAAATCAATAAAGATTTAGGAAATGCTTAGCTTTAAAAATTTTCAGTATATCAAACTGGTCTTATTAAGGATTGCCAATTTGAGGTTTTCAAGACAAGGTTTATATGCAAAAACAAAGTCAATCTAGCCTGCCCTTTAGAATTTCGAAGAACTAAATTTTAGTGAAATTTTAATTTTATATCCTTTCTGTTTTATATAGTGTTTGACTACACAGATAAAACTGAAGTGAATACCCTTCAAACACACCAATACCCTTAGAAATTTCTAGATTTTAATCATTAGACCAAGAATTATAATCACATTTTATTCTGAACTAAAGTAAGTCTATTAGTCTCTATAATAATAAACTTTGATTAATGAGATTGAAGCAGCATCAGGAAAGGATAAGCGTTATACCAGGGTGTTCCCAATAGCACAAGACCTAGAGCGACAGAGCACTCTTCCACAGAAGACCATTCCCATCCCTTGTCAATGTCTTGTTAGCTTTGTTTCCTCTGGGTAAATCACAAACATCTCTGGATCTACTTTTTAAGGTATATAATACCCCACTTACTGGACAAGTTTATTATGAGAACCAAATGGAAAACAGTTTATAGGAGGCAATTTGGAAAGCATAAAACACAAACAAAAAAAAAATTTAAACACTTACCTATGGACTAAAACGACCAAGAGAACCAAAACTATCCAAACAAGTTTTCTGTATAAAGGTTTATGTGGCTAAAACAAGATAATCATTTTACTTGTCCTAGGTCAAGTCACTCTCCTATCTTCCCACAGCATTCTCTTCAACTACTACAAACCTCACAGGAAAATGGACGTGCTCCAACCTTCACATAAAATGTAAAATGTAGAGGCCAACACAGGGCTCCAGAAAAGCAGAAACTCATCCCAGTACTGCAAAAAGAAAAAACCAGAAAAGCAGAAACTCTCAGGATCAGTTCCTGAGTAAAGTAGTACCACCTTTCTGGAGGCAATTTTGTAATGCATGTCAAAACTCAAATATTCCTACCCTTTGACCCAGTAACTGTACTTTTGGGAATTAATCAAAGCAAATAATGATCTTGAAGCATCTAAGAGTCCTAAATTAGAGCTCATGGTGAGCTAAGTGCTTGCTACGAGATTTATGTTAACGTCTCATTGTGTCCTCCAGTAACAACCCAGAAAAACCGAGGTAAGAGAAAAGAACCTAAGCGATTCTCCCAGGCTCACACAGTAAACAGCAGAGCTGCCATTCAAATTTAATTTTCTAATTTCAGCAGCAAAAACTCTTAACTATTCCTCTATGGAACATGGTTAAATAGATTTAGGTTCATTCCTCCACAGTGAGGCAATGGCAGCCACTTAAAAACATTGAAGGGCAGAAGAACTGCACACATACCATCACTTTGAGTTGGGCTCCAAACCTTGCCTGAAAAGTGAGTCAGAAAAGGAGATGGGGACTGCAATTACTTTTGCAGCTGTGGACTAAAGTCAACTAAGCACTAACTCACAAGAAGCTTTCCATAAAATTGACTAGCTACCTAGCTGAGTTGCCCACCTTAAGGTGTGATATTCCCCTGAGGCTGAAGACAGCTTCCAAAGGGGATGGGGGAGGCCTGTGTACTGAGACAACACTCTGACACCAAAAGGCTAAGAACCCCAGCTACTTTACTGGCAATATTCCTGAATGGCAGGCCCAGACAGAACACTGTTGTTGAAGATCAAGAAATAAAGCAAATAGAATCCAACATGGGACCTCTGAAAGAATATTTAAGATCAAACAACAGAACGTGATAATACATGCAAAAAGAAAAAATCCAAAATGACAGGAATCACCACATACCTATCAGTACTAACGCTTAATGTTAACAGACTTAATTCACCCATCAAAAGGCACCGCTTGACAAAATGGATTAAAAAGGAAGATCCAACAATTTGTTGCTTACAGGAGACCCATCTCACTGACAGACATAAGCATAGGCTTAGGATGAAAGGCTGGAAGAAGATTTACCAAGCCAATGGCCCCCGAAAACAGGCAGGAGTAGCAATACTTATCTCTGACAAAGTAGACTTCAAACCTACATTGATCAAACGAGATAAAGAAGGACATTCCATACTAATAAAAGAGGAAATAGACCAAAAGGAAATAACAATTATCAACCTATATGCACCCAATGTCAACGCACCCAATTTCATCAAACATACCCTGAAAGACCTAAAAGCATATATTAACACCAACACAGTGGTTGTGGGAGACTTTAACACCCCATTATCATCAATAGATAGGTCATCCAAACAAAAAAATCAATAAAGAAATCCAAGATCTAAAATATGCAATAGATCAAATGGACCTAGTAGATGTCTACAGAACATTTCATCCAACCTCTACACAATATACATTCTTCTCAGCAGCCCATGGAACCTTCTCCAAAATAGATCATATCCTAGGGCACAAAGCAAGCCTCAGCAAATATAAGAAAATAGAAATTATACCATGCATACTATCTGATCACAATGCAGTAAAAGTAGAACTCAACAACAAAAGTAAAGACAAAAAACATGCAAACAGCTGGAAACTAAATAACTCATTACTTAATGAACAATGGATCATCGATGAAATAAAAGAGGAAATTAAAAAGTTCCTGGAAGTCAATGAAAATGAAAACACAACCTACCAGCACCTATGGGACACAGCTAAGGCAGTCCTAAGAGGAAAGTTTATAGCCATGAGTGCATATATTAAAAAGACTGAAAGATCCCAAATCAATGACCTAATGATACATCTCAAACTCCTAGAAAAACAAGAACAAGCAAATCCCAAAACAAATAGAAGGAGAGAAATAACAAAAATAAGAGCTAAAATCAACGAAATAGAAACCAAAAAAACCATACAAAGAATTAATGAAACAAAAAGTTGCTTCTTTGAAAAAATAAACAAGATCGATAGACCCCTGGCAAACCTGACTAAAATGAGGAGAGAAAAAAACCCAAATTAGTAGAATCAGGAATGCAAAAGGGAAGATAACAACAAACACATGGAAGTCCAGGAAATCATCAGAAACTACTTTGAGAACCTATATTCAAATAAATTTGAAAATTTAAAGAAATGGACAGATTTCTAGATACATATGATCATCCAAAACTGAACCAAGAGGAAAGTAATCACCTGAATAGACCTATAACACAAAATGAAATTGAAGCAGCAATCAAGAGTCTCCCCAAAAAGAAAAGTCCAGGAACTGATGGATTCTCTGATGAATTCTATCAGACCTTTAAAGACGAACTGATACAGACCATCCTTAAACTGTTCCACGAAATAGAAAGGGAAGGAAAACTGCCAAACACATTTTATGAAGCCAGTATTACACTTATCCCAAAACCAGGCAAAGACACCTCCAAAAAGGAGAACTATAGGCCAATCTCTTAATGAACATTGATGCAAAAATCCTCAACAAAATAATGGCAAACCGAATTCAGCAACACATCAAAAAGATTATTCACCACGACCAAGTAGGCTTCATCCCAGGATGCAGGGGTGGTTCAACATACGAAAATCAATAAACGTAATAAACCACATTAACAGAAGCAAAGACAAAAACCACTTGATCATCTCAATAGATGCAGAAAAAGCCTTTGATAAGATCCAACATCATTTCATGATAAAAGCTCTAAGAAAACTAGGAATAGAAGGAAAGTTCCTCAACATTATAAAAGCTATATATGACAAACCTACAGCCAGCATTATACTTAATGGAGAAAAACTGAAACCATTCCCTCTAAAATCAGGAACCAGACAAGGATGCCCACTATCTCCACTCCTATTCAACATAGTACTGGAATTCCTAGCCAGAGCAATTAGGCAAGAAGAAGGAATAAAAGGAATACAAATAGGTAAAGAAACTGTCAAAATATCCCTATTTGCAGACGACATGATCCTATACCTTAAAGACCCAAAAAACTCTACTCAGAAGCTTCTAGACATCATCAATAGCTATAGCAAGGTAGCAGGATATAAAATCAACATAGAAAAATCATTAGCATTTCTATACACTAACAATGAGCAAACGAAAAAGAATGTATGAAAACAATTCCATTTACAATAGCCTCAAAAAAAATCAAATACCTAGGTGTAAACCTAACAAAAGATGTGAAGACCTCTACAAGGAAAACTATACACTTCTGAAGAAAGAGATTGAGGAAGACTATAGAAAGTGGAGAGATCTCCCATGCTCATGGATTGGTAGAATCAACATAGTAAAAATGTCGATACTCCCAAAAGTAATCTACATGTTTAATGCAATTCCCATCAAAATTCCAATGACATTCATTAAAGAGATTGAAAAATCTACTGTTAAATTTATATGGAAACACAAGAGGCCACGAATAGCCAAGGCAATACTCAGTCAAAAGAACAATGCAGGAGGTATCACAATACCTGACTTCAAACTATATTACAAAGCAATAACAATAAAAACAGCATGGTACTGGCACAAAAACAGACATGAAGACCAGTGGAACAGAATAGAGGACCCAGATATGAAGCCACACAACTATAACCAACTTATCTTTGACAAAGGAGCTAAAAATATACGATGGAGAAATAGCAGCCTCTTCAACAAAAACTGCTGGGAAAACTGGTTAGCAGTCTGCAAAAAACTGAAACTAGATCCATGTATATCACCCTATACCAAGATTAACTCAAAATGGATCAAGGATCTTAATATCAGACCACAAACTCTAAAGTTGATACAGGAAAGAGTAGGAAATACTCTGGAGTTAGTAGGTATAGGTAAGAACTTTCTCAATGAAACCCCAGCAGCACAGCAACTAAGAGATAGCATAGATAAATGGGACCTCATAAAACTAAAAAGCTTCTGTTCATCAAAAGAAATGGTCTCTAAACTGAAGAGAACACCCACAGAGTGGGAGAAAATATTTGCCAA